TTTCCCAGGAGGTCTCCCATCCAGGTACTGACCAGGCTCACACCTGCTTAGCTTCAGTGGGTTGCCAGTTGTGAGTTGCAGGGTGATATGGCTGCTGGTGCAATACAATACAGTGGGGAAGCATGTGAATGTGGGGAGAACAATCAAACTCCACACAGATAGCACCCCAGGTCCAGAACTGACCCCAGGGTTCTCGTACTGCGAAGAAACAAGACTTCTGCCTTGACTTCTGAATGTGCTGCCCCAGCCAAGGACTCGGTAGACACCACTGCATCACTGTGCCACACTGTTTTAAAGAATGCACAGTCAAATGATTGAATACGTGCCCTTGGCAACCAGAGCTTTAGTGATACTGAGTCCCTACCCCAGAAACTGCATCAGAGCTCCTGGATGTTTCCATGTATGATAGAGGTAGCAGTTTGGATCGCCTGTAAAGTGAAAGTAGTTGCAAGAGGGAAACATGGTTCCAGTAACTGACGCTCAGAAAGACTGCTTGTGGGAGATGGTGTTCTGTAGCAGGTTGGGAAGTCCCTTTAATGACTAAGCTGGTTTGAGGGACTTGGGAGCAGATTGCAAATATACAGGCTGAATTTAGCACAAGGCTGGCAGAAGCCACCTCACCCAAGCCACCAGCGGCCAGCGAGGCTATGTCCAGACATCTCGGGGACAGCAGAAGACACCCGAGGGTAGGACTGGGAAGATGGTGGGAGAGGAGGAGAGTGGGGATTTCTGGGGGACAGAGAGGAGAGAAATTCAGGTTGAATGCAAGAAAGGAAGAGGGAGACACCAGGAGTCTTTGGCGGCAACAAGGAAGTTGAGACTAGAAGGCGGGACGGACGCAGAGACAGGGCCGCGGGAGAAGGGGACGTTGAGAGTACGGATAAGCACTGGAGAGAGAGAGAGGGATGGAGGGAATATATTCAGAGCATTACTTTCTGTAACTTGAGACATTTCCAAAGTGCTATTCTTGGTGATGTTTCCTGAAACCCCCTACACCTCCTCCCTGGAGAGAGAGTGAGAGACACACAGGGGGAGAGCGAGCAGAGCTGACAGCTTTCTTCTTTCACGCTTGCGCATTG